GTGAATCTGGGTAAAATTACAACACTTTGAACTTGTCTTTAAGTCTGCAAAGTAAAAGTCACCAAAAAACTTTGGGAATTGGAAGTTCTAACCCCTTGTAAACAGCTTTATAGTATTTTACCTACTTATCCAGCATTTTATCTTTCCTTAGTATGGGTTTTTCCCCCCATAGAATTATTTAAAAATTTGCTGTGTTATCATTTATCATGATTTCCCTTGATGTTTGCAGTTTTTGTGCTATATTTAGAAACACCTTTCCCACCCAAAAATTATAAATTATTATTATTATTTATAAAATATTATTATTTATAAAATTATTATTAACTATAAAATTATTTACTCATACATGTCATTGTTGTCTTCAAATATTTGAATTTTGATTCATTTGTAAAGTTGAGAAAGGGCATCTGTTTTTTTTCCCCAAATGTTTTTCTCCAAATGTAACCATTTATATAAAAATTCTTTTATTGAATACTTATGCTTTTTTTTTTTTGGCAGTGAATTAGAAATGTCCTCCTTATTTCCTACATTCCCATCTTATTCTGGTTTGTTTCTGTCACTTGCAATCTCATTCCTGTGCCATCACTGCTCTGTTGAAATTATTGTAGTTTTGTAAATTTTTTTTAATATGTGGTAAGGCAGATCCTCTTCCTCATTCAATTATTTTTAAAGGATTTACCTAGCTGAGCTGACCCACATGGCGCAGCAGACCTCTCCTGACCCACCCGTTGCTCCCCTCAGCAGGGTATCTCAGTACATCTGTCTGTTCTGCTCCCCATTCTTTCTGGTGAATCTGCTCTCCGCTTCTACCTCTGGCCTGTACCCCAGCTCTTGTATGTATAAATAAATAAATCTTTTAAAAAATATAAAGAGTTTACCTGCCTAGTCAAACAACTTTAGTATAATGCCAAAAACAAAACAATATGGCAATTTTGATGGAAATTGATAGATTTGGGGAAAATAGACTCTTTTGCGCTCTTTCTTTCTTGTCCCTGGAGCAGGAGACATTTTCTTGACAGTTGCTATAAAATGCTGTTTAATTTTATTCCTTGGTGTGTTTATCTTGATTATCTTTATTGTGAGCATATGTTTTCTTTCATTGTATTTTGTATTACTATTTTTTATTGGCTTTTTGTTGTGTATTTACTTTGTAATGAGCAGCTTTCCTGCATCTAGTTGATTCCCCTAATTTTAGAAATGATAAATTTGCCTTCATCTTTTCAACATGTATGCCTCTTCTTCCTTTCTCTGTCCTTTGCCGTGTCTAGAGCTAGATTCCAGAACAACTACTCTGTCTTCTAGCAGACACTGTGCCATTTTGTTTTAGGGGTGTTTCCTGTAGACACCATCAAGTTGGATACTAGTTTTTCCTCCAACACATCTGTGAGCCTGCCCTTTAATCTGTGTATCAAGAGGAATGTTTCTTTTTGTTCCCTGCCTTACATTTTGGTTTGATTTTTTTGCCCCACTACTTTTACGCTACAGTAGTTTAGACGTTGTCATATCTCATTTTCATTCTCTACAGGTCACCTTCTATTTACCACATATTTAAACCTGAATTAAGAACAGCTAGACTGTAGCTTCCTCTTTGCAAGAGGGAACCTTCTTTAATTTTCACTTTTTTTAGTGGACTCTTTGGGGCTGAGCTTCATGGAAATGCTTCTTCCACCTCATCACGAAGAGTGTCATCTGTCAGGAAGAGCCGTTCCTCTGTGTGTCAGTGTAGCACTTCCAGAACGAATGTCTTGCTTCATATGACATGTCTTCCGCAGCTTCTAAGATGCCCTGTGCCTCAACGTGCAGGCTCAGCGCCATCTCGAGCCCCGCTGCCTGTCCCTTCCTGGTCGTGGTGTACTTTTGTTTAGCTCATCTGTTGGCTCCAGATTTTTGCTGTTTTTTTAAGAACATATTTAATTTATGCATTTGTCCAACAGATGCCCTGTGCAGGGCCTTGGACTCTGCCTAAGGTGGGAATACTGCCAAGCAAAGGGGCCGGTCAGTCTCGCTGCAGGCAAAAACCAACAAAACACAGAGATGGTGAGGATTGTGCTGTGTGAATCATGCGCTTGTCTAGACCAGTAGCAACTTATAGAATAAAGGCTGTATTTCGCTTGAAAAATATTGCCCATATTTCTGAAACATCTGAAGTAAGGTAACTTACCTTTTCCTTGAGCATGAGGTAGAAGTTGCCTATGAAACCAGCGAGGCCTGTTTTCCTTTAAGGGGTTGATCTTGGGCAATATTTTAAGTTCTGCTTCCTTTGGTTATTGGGCTTAAATGGTTTGCATTTTCTTCGAAATTAGTCATTTCATCCAGAATATAAATCCACAAAGAGGAAGTTATAAACATTCTTCAGATTCTGAGAAAGTATATTTTCCTTGCATGTGGTTCTTAGTCCTTTTTCTACTTAGACCATGAAATCTTTGCATTTTCTTTTTCTTTCTGTTTTTCTTGGTAAGACAAGGTGCTTATCTATTTTTTTTTTAAGAGCAAGCTGTTCTTGACTTATTTTTTCAAGTCTGTGATTTTCTGCTTTCTTTTTTGCTTAAACTGACTTTATTTTTTAAAGTATTTTATTTATTTAAAGATTTATTTATTTATGCATACAGACCTGGGGAGGTGCAGGGTCGGTGAGAAGATTCACCAGAGACAAAGTGGGGAGCAGAGCAGGCAGATCGATGAAATACACTGCTGAGGGGAGCAGTGGATGGGTCAGGAAAGGTCTGCTGTGCCATGTGGGTCACCCCCCCGGCTGGGTATTGAACTTGTGCTGAAGCAGCTGTGGCTAGCTTTGTAGTGCTGTGCTTTAACCCATTGTGCCACCAGGGCCCTGATTTTCTGTTTTCTAATGCATGAATTTGTCCCTTCTGTCTTTATTAATTCCTTCTCCAGTGTCCTGAGGTGAATATGCAGTGATAAATAATTAATGATGATAACAAGTAATTTATTTTAATTCTATCTTGTTTAATATTAAAAATGTATGATCAGAGGTGCTTATCTTTCTGCACTCTAATTGCAGATAATTGTTTTTATTTTAGCATTTTTGAAAGCTAATTTTTCCCCCTCCCCATTAATGGGTTGATTCATACTTTGTTATTGGATTCTGGTTTGATTTCACTGTGCTAAGGGAATGTCTACATATAAGCTCTCTCTCTCTCTCTCCTTTTTTACCTCTGGGATCCAGCTAGTCATATTCCTCAGGTACGGGTCCTCACGCTATCATCACTCGCTTGATTATCACTGTCTTGTCTTCTCTCCATCTTCCCCCCCAAAGCTTCCTACCCCAATCTGTTTAATATACATCATTAAAGATATCTGTATCTTTGAAAAATATAGTGTTGATGTATGGTCATTTAATTCACATAAAGATTGTGTGACTACATACCCCCTCCTGTGTTTATTTGTTGAAGAGTCTCAACTTGTTAGAGAATCCACGTAGAAGGATTTTATTCCTTCAAGTCTTTGCTCCTACATACCTTCTGTCAAGTTTCCCTACCGCCTCCAAACACCATTTTGGGCAGCATCCATAATTTGCAGTCGCTTTCAGTTATTAAATGCCTGTCTTACTGTAAGATTCGATTTAAAAATTGATTTGATTTACAATAATAATAATACACAACTATATACCAGAGACATTTTACAGGGGTGGAGTGGGGAATGGAATAAAAAATGGTGGGGGAGGGGAAGTGCACAGGACTGTGGTGATGGCACACGGGTGATTTGGTGATGGGAAGTCTATGGAGATTGTAGCTGAGATGGAAAAAGGCACAAAATGATGTAAAAATAAACTATTATATTAAAAAAAAGAAAAGCAAATTGATTTGATTTAAACCTGACGAAAGCCTAGCCCTCTCCCTCGTCCTGTGTTCCCCCCTCCTTCTGGGAGCTCCTGCCTTGACAAGACCCTTCTCCAGGTCTTTCCCTGTCTTAATTTTCAGGCTCCACTCGGTGTGCTAAGTGTCAACCTCTATGTGGCTTTAGGCAGAGCAAAGGCCTTGTCAGCTTTCTTCATCTATCTTTAATGAGATTCGATGCCCTTCATTGAACAGGGAGCCTCAGTTTTGCCACGATTAAGCCCCTTCCGATTTGTGGCTCCTGAGTATTATTTTAAACAGGGCTCCCTTCCCCACAGCCCTGACACTAGCAGGGTCTCGATGCGTGTGGCTCTGACTAAGGCACCGCTGGTCTAATTTGCTCCTTCTGTGCCACTGCTGCTGTTTCTGTAATTATAGCTCTGAAATGCCCCCAACTCTCTCTAGCTTGCTGGTGGGTCAGCTTTGTCTCTAGGCTGACCGGTTTGTTTTTTTCTAGAAACTGTCACAGAATTCATGGACTGCTGTCCTTCCATATCAGTTTTAAAATCAGATTGTCAAGGTCCCGAAAAGTCTTGCTGGCATTTTATTTGAAATTTCTTGAACTTTAGAGATGAATGTAAGGAGAGTGGACAATTTATACATCAGTTTTTAACTCATTTTTACTCTGTCGAGATTGTGTGCGAGTAAGCTGTTTTTCTGATTTATAAAACTTTTCAACAATATGGAAGTGTAAAGAAAGATGAAAAAAAATAAGAAACTGACATTAGCGGGAATAACAACAGCCCTTTAATGTATGCGGTTGTAAACATTATTCTTATATTTGTACCTGCTTTACACAAAAAGTGGGGATGGCTGTGCATTTCAAGTAGCTCCCCCTGTAAGCAGGATTGGAGAGGGTCTAGGCAACAGCTTGGAGATCCACCAAGATTTAAGGGGCGGGCTGAAAAGGAGGCCTGGAGCTAAGGTCTGAGAGTCAGCAGGGGAATGGAGAAAGAGCCCAGTGCGGCCCTGGGATGGCCCCCCACCTGATGCACAACTTTTGTGTCACCAGAGCAGGGTGGTAGCCATAGCTCATGGTGGGGACAGCACAGGTCTAAGGCAGCTGTGGTCAGGATTTGGCCTGGGAAGGTTTGCAGGAAGGCCTTGCTGGTCCCTCCCTCATGCCCCACTTCTTCCCCTCCACAGGATGACTCTGGCAGCCCCCTTGTCTGCCAGATGAACAAGACCTGGATTCAGATGGGGGTGGTGAGCTGGAGCTTTGGCTGCAGCCAAAGTCGCTTCCTTGGCATCTACACCAGCACCTCCTACTTCACCCAGTGGATCAAGAGACAGGTCAAGGAAATGAAGTTCACCAGTGGGGCTAGCTCTGCCTTTCTGATCCCAGTCTTCCCCACTGGCTACGTCCTGCTGGTCTCCTTGGGCTCCCTGTGGCTCTTGTGAGCAGTGTTTCCAGTGTGGTGGTCCCTGCTGTCTGCCCTCAGGAGAGAGGGGGAGGAGCAGCACAGAGGGGCAGGGCCTGGGCCTTGTGGGAGGGTCCCAGAGCGGCTGCTTTCTCAGTTCAATGAAGATGCCTTTGAACTCTGCACCACTGAAGTCATCACCATTCTTCTTGACTTTGGCCGGAGCCTTTCAGCACCTCCCCTAGCCCAAGAGGCCTGGCTGTTCTCACTGGAACCTCCCTAACAGTCTTCCTTGTGCTCACTGTGGCCTCCTCTCTCACTCCACTGTCCTCTTATGCCAGTTATGGGCTTGGAGTCTGCCCCAGCCTCTGCTTAGTCCTGGTAGCACTCTGGCAACGCCAGGGCCCCATGCCCTGCCCTGAGTCTCAACAACAGTTTCCTTCAGGCCTGTCCTTGTGAGTTGGCCTCATCCCAAGAAACTCAGTGGCCACAAGTGCACTTGTGGGCCTTGATCCAGAACCCATGGGACTATCCCAGTCTCTCATATCCCCCTGAGGTTCTACAAAACCTTTGGATCCTCCTCCCTGCCAGGAGGACTATAGTATGGCGGCGTGACCCCAAGTGCCTCAGTGACCTCAAGGACAGAGGGCAGAGCCCTAACCCCTGTACCAGGTGGACCTCGGGTTCAGAGCAGCTAGCTACCCTTGCCCTTTGGGACTCTGAAGGGTAGTGGTTGTAATTTGCTGTCTTCTTGGATGTTGGAGACCTGAATGGCCAGCCTGAGTGTCTCTCCCAAGGCCCTGTCAAAAGTTAGAATGTTTTACCTTGATTTAACTTCACCTCTTTTATTAGGCTAGACTTTTCCAAGAACCAAAGTTTCTCATTGACTCTTTACCTTCACTGCTTCCCGCTCCAGCCTCAGTCCCTTCCCTCCCCCAGTTATTAACTGTCCCTGAGCCATCAAAAATACGAGCTGGCCTTTGGCTCCCTTCAGAGGGCCTGGGGGTCACTATCACATCTTTCCTAAATGAATGAATCTGTGAGGGAAGGAGATTTGCTATATGGAGGTGGTGGTAGTGGTAGTGTTGGTAGTGGTGGTAGTAAGGGAAGTTGTGTACAATTAAGTCATTTTTAAAAATCACTGGGGCCTCCAGTGGGTACAAGGGGTTAAAATACTCCACTGTGAAGCTATCTGCAGCCACTGCAGCACAAGTTGGATCCCCAGCCAGGGAGCTGACCCACATGGCATGGCAGACCTCTCCTGACCCACCCCCCTCAGCTGTGTGTTTCAGTCCATCTGCCTGTTCTGCTCCCTACTCTGTCTCTGGTGAATCCTCTCACCCCCATACCTCTTGCCTGTACCTCAGTTCTTGTATGTATAAATAAATATTTTTTTAATAAAATAAAAAAAAAAAACGAAAATCATCATTGAAAACATTTCAGTTTTCTTAATTTCAGTGCCATGGTGTGAACCCCCACTGCCGTTACCAGACTGTCGGAAAGGTAGGGGGCACTTGAAAATCCTGGATGCCTGCCCCAGACATCTCACCAGGGGAGAGATGGAAGCCTGAACCATCCAGGGTTGTGGGCTGCCGAAATGAGGAGGTGCAGGAACTGGCCGAGGTTAGGCTGAGGGGTTCAGCCAGGTCTGCCTGACCAAGGAGAATGGCAGGGGAGGGCCGGGAGCAAGGACAGCAGTTGGTCCAAAGCAGAATCCTGTCAGAGGCGGGAGCCCCAAGGCACTCTCCGGGGCGCGTCCTCGGGAGCACCATGGCGAGTGGCCACTGGGGGGCGCCTGCCTGAGGCGGAATCGGGCGTGGCCTCACTGATCACACCCAGAAGCTGCCTGGGGTGGACCAGAGGGGGCGCCATTTTGAGAGGAGCACCGCGGAGCAGTTGCTGCTGCCCCAACATGGAGCTCTCGTGCAGGATCCGGGCCTGTAGGCAGGAACCCCAGGGCTCCAGGAAGCCTCCCCGGTCCCAGGCCCACGCTGCTCTGCTGCTGCTGCTGTTGCTAAGGCCTCTTGGTGAGCCCCGCCCTTTGCCCTGTCCTCCACTCGAGGCCTCAGCGATCCACTTCTGACCTTTTCTGTCTCTTCGAGCAGGTAGCTTAGACGCAGATGACCTGAAGGGGGCACACGACCCCTTGGCGCCCTCCACAGCTGCTCCCTCTAACACTGGCACCCCTTGTGCCCCCAATACCCCGTGTCCCTTGGACAAGCCTCAGCTCTCCCAGTTCCCTAGGGGAGGAGCCTTTGATGGGAAACTCTTGGCCAAACAACTGCAATCCTCTGCTCCACAACACCAAGCCAACCCATTTCCGGGTAAGTATCGTGGACTCCACTGGGGGTCGGTTGGGGAGGAGAGTTCAGAGAAGTCTTAAGGACCTTTGCTCCTTGTAGACAAGGTAGGTGGGAGGAGGAGGAAGGGGTGGGGAGGAGGGAGAAGACTCTTCCTTTCCAGGTGTTTCCTGAGCACCTGTAGGAGGCAAGGCAAGTTGGAGTAGTCTGGGGTGGGCTGCATGTTCCCACTGACCTCAGCCCGGAGCCCTTTGGGTGACCTCTCCACAGGTTTAGGCCCTGCCCGGCTTGCCCCTGGCCCAGGCTTCTAGCCCAGGATTTCGGGATCTCCAGCTTGGCCTTCAGGGAGTGTTCCTTTGGGTGCCCAAGGCTTCCAGGCACCGCTGAGACCCCTATAGGAAACACTTCTTATCCTGGGACACAGCGTGCCCCGGGAAGTCTCCTCAGCGCGACCTGGCAGCGCTGTGGTGTGCAGGCTGACACTCGTTCCCTGTGCCAGCTTTCCCAGATGCAGGTCTGCCTGGGCCCACTGCATGGATTTCACAGACCACCGCTCACATTTGGGGCACACCTGGGCTGCTGTGATGTTGGACATGTGCATCTCTGTTTTCAAACTTTTCCAGAGTGGCTGCAGCCACTGACCCTCCAGCTGTGAGCTGGAGGATAACTTTTTCCACTGAGAGCTGAAGGGCCCAGCAGGGTACTGAGGTGAAGGGCCCAGACAGGCTGGGAATTCTCTGGAGCTTGGGCCCTGGGAATAGGGCGAGGGATACCTGGGGAGCATCAAGGCCCTCTGAGGCCGGAAACCCCAGTCCGCATGTGGATGGCATAGTAACATGGTGGCCAGTGGAAAAGAGACTGGTTGGATTTGGGCCAGCAGCTGGAGAGATGGGGAATCAGGCTGAGGGGTGGGGATGGGAGGTGGAGGGGAGAGGGACACTCACTGAGCTCTCACCTTCTTCCCCAGCCTGTGGCACCTCCCAGGAAGCCGACCTTACCCTCAGGTACCCAGAGGCCATGGCCCGGCGGTGGCCTTGGATGGCCAGTGTGCGGGCCAATGGCACACACATCTGTGCGGGCACCATCATTGCCTCCCAGTGGGTGCTGACCGTGGCCCACTGCCTGATCCAGTGAGTCGGGGCCTACATGGGTGGGTGGAAAGGCACTGGGAGCCATCAGGGGCCCAGCCCTGTCTGTGGAGAGCCACTGTCCCGGCCCCAGCCTCATCCGGTCGCAAGCAGGTAGGGGTTGAGTCCTGCAGATTCCTTCCCTGGCGCCAGTCTTTCAAGCTCCCACCCCTTGCTGCCCTCACCTGGCCCCACAGCCTGTGCAGTCACCCCCTCGGTAGAAACTGGAGGCTTGGGAGCCTTTGTCCAGGTCTTTCTCCCAGCCCCAGAGAAGCAGACCCTAGTTCTTTCATTCAACACCCTTTGCTCCCTTCCACTCCCTTCCTTCATCAAACCAAAAGCCTTTGATTTTCCTATGAAGCCAGGCCTGGGCTGGGCTCTGGGGCATTGAGGGGATGAATCATGCTTTTCAGGTCTCTCGGGGAGTCAAGTAAGAAGACAGATGCTCACAGGAGAGCCTGGTGGGGCCAATGGAGGGGTGTGCCAGTGTCAGGGAAGGAGGGCTCTGGGGGTAACATCTGCACTGGCGTGAGGGCAGGAGGATGTGCTCCAAGCCTAAGAGCTGATGGCAGGGCTCTAGGGGCATGCTGGGAAGGGGGGCTGCAGGAAGGCCATGGCTTATCGCAAGGAACCTCTGTTACCTCCTAGGGCCCTGCATGGGGCGCTGGACAGTCTACTGTTCAGAAACTGGGCCTGCATCCCACTGAAAACACTTCCTAGCTGCATAGGCTTGAGCTGGTAACTGAAACCTGGTTTCCCTCCTCTAAAGGAAGGATTGTGAGACCTGTACAGTGTGTGCGCAGGGCCCTGTTCATGTCTCTTAGGAGGAGTGGGCTCCAGGGTGACCTGTCTGTCTGCACAGAGTGCAACAGTGAAGAAGAGGCAGGGCGGGCGGCGGGAGTGGGTGCTCGGAACTAAGGCTGACCCTTTTGGGTCCCTCCAGGCATGGCACTGTCTACTCAGTGCGGGTGGGGATCCCGTGGATTAACCAGATGTCACCGACTAGCTCTGAAGTCCTGGTGAGCCAGGTCATTGTGAACAACCGGTACCGGGCCCGGCGCTACTGGTCCTGGATGGGCCAGGTCCACAACATCGGCCTCCTCAAGCTCCAGCGGGAGCTCAATTACAGCAGCGAAGTCTGGCCCATCTGCCTACCTGGCTTGGGCCACGTGCTGAAGGACGGGTCCCGCTGCACTGTGACGGGCTGGGGCCGCTCCAAGGTTAATGGTGAGTCAGAGCTTTTGCGGACCAGGGTTGGTGATGCACGAGAGGATGTGGGTGCTGGTCGGGTCCATCCAGGACAGCCGTTTCTGAGAAATCCTCCCAAGGGAGTCCACCATCCCGGGCCCTTCCTGTTAACACTCTTTCCAAGTTCTCCTTCCCCTTGAGGGTCTCATCAGTGAAGGCATCATGGCTGTTTTGGCCTGGGGAACTCATGTCGCCCTTAAACTCTCAGGTCCAGACCATGGAAATAGGTCTTTCTTGAATGAAGTGGGGGTACAGAGTAATAGCTTCTGTCTCCACACAATCCCAGGGCTTCCACAACCAGGATCATCTGGGGTGTGAAGAGCAGGGTTCTGTGTCTGTGAAACACTCCCAGGAGACCTGACGTGGTGGGCTAGGGGCAATCTGACCCAGAGGTTGGGAGTCACTCAGGGTCCACCCAAGTGGTCCTTAATCTTAACCTGGTCACCTCAAGCAGGCAGCAGGTCCCAAAGAACACGAGTATTGTCCCAGGCCCTAAGGTCCATTCCCTTATGAGCCCCAGGAATATCAGGGAGCTCCCATCGCTTTTCCACAAGTGAGGTACCTTTCCCTGTAGCCTTATAAGCCCAGGTGGGTGTCTGGCGATTTCTCTCGTCCCCCAGGAGCCTCAGTCCCTCAGGAGCTGAGGCTAAGGTCAGGCACACTTGTGAAAGAGGGAGGGTAAGATGGAGGGAAGGAGAGTCAGCCCTGCCTGGGACCCAGGTAGGGGAACCTGCGAAACTTGGGAGGAAGCGGCCTTTGTTGGGGGTGGGAGGGACTTGGATTTGGACCCTAGAACGGCTTGGCAGGCATTTGGGATAGAAGGAACAGCAAAAGCCGTAGTGCTGAGATAGCACTAGAGCATGCAGGAAGAGTGGCCAGGCCCCTCAAGGCTGCAGTGGTGGCCTGCTCCAGTCTCCGTGGCGCATGGCCCTCGGGCCATGCCAGTTATAATGACAGATGGACAGAGCCTGGAGAACAGATGAGGCTGGAGAGGTGGAGAGGAGCAAAGCTGGAGACCAGGCTGGCGACAGTGGCAGCAGTGACACCACCACACCTGAACACGCTTCTGTCCCACAGGCACGTGGCCCCAGTCCCAGACCCTTCAGGAGAAGGATGTCACCATCCTGAACACCAAGGCGTGCGACAGCTTCTACCACAAGTTCTCTAAAATCCCCTCTCTGGTTCGGGTCATCACGTCCCAGATGATCTGTGTGCAGGACAGCGACAGGGAGCAGTTCTGTTATGTAAGCACCTCTCCCCTTCCCCCACGCGCTTCTAAGGGCACCTGGCCGGGGCGGGGGGGGGTGGAGAACCGGGGGGGAGACTGGGGGGGGCTGGGTGGGACTTGTCAGTAAAACACTCCTCGGAGACCCCACAGATGGTCAGGGACCTAAGGGTATGGAGAGGAGCAGACAGGCCGGGACCCTGAAGGGTGACGTCAGGGGAGGAGAGATGGGAGTGTGTGTGTGTTGGGGGGACAGAGTTTGAGGTGAGAAAGGAGGGCAGGCTAGTAGGAAGATGGAGGGTGGGTGTCAGATCAGGGTGGCCGACTGGCTGGGAGAGAGGAGATGATGCCTCTGAGGACGGTCTTCTGGGTTTCCACCTCTCAGGTGACACCCGGGAATATGAAGATCGGGCATGGAGATGGGTGTGAGGTGCCTTGTTTGTCTCTGCGCTGGGTCACTTCGCCTTCGGGCCACATCTGTCCTCCCTGTCCCCTGTCTCCCCACCTCCCCACAGGAGACGAGCGGTGAGCCCTTGGTCTGCTTCACGGAGAGCTCGTGGTACCTGGTGGGAGTGGTGAGCTGGGGCCCAGGCTGCAGCCAGGAGGAGGCCCCGCCCGTCTTCCTGCGCGTCGCCTCCTACCAGTACTGGATCTGGGACCGCCTCAGCGGGCAGACCCTGCCCTGCCCGTCCCGGGCCCTGCTCCTGGCACTCCCTCTGCCCCTCAGCCTCCTTGCTGCCCTGTGACGCTCTCGCGCCACCCTTGGGTATGTCTGCTCTTGGCCCGGCCCCTCTACATTCGCCCCACTCCAGGTGCATCTATCTCCCAAGGCCCCACCCAGCCGGGCAGAGACCGGGTACTCAATTAAACGCTTGTTTTTTCCTTGCTGCCTCCATCCTGAGCCAGGTGGGGTGGAGTGGGGGACACAGGGAAGTTTATTTTGAAAAGTGTGGAGCCCCAGGACTTGCCCCTGTCTAAGCTGGTTTGGCGTGTGAAGCAGTGCTTTTGGGGCGTGGGCCTTACTGCCCAGGCCAAAGGCCAGAGCGAGACTGGGGTGAGGGTGACCTCAAGTCTGAGCTGGGGGAGAGAGCTTTTGCTTTCTGTGATACTTAAGTGGGAGACAGGCTCCCCTTGACCACTGGCCAGTGGCTAACAGTCAGGCTGTTGCTCTGAAGCCCAGTAGTGAACTTGGACTTCCTAGCACAGCCCTCTTTTGGAGACCGAGGCAGGTGCCCACTGGGACCTGACATTGTCCCCACCACCAGCAACTGTGCCCTCCAAAGGCCCAGTGGAGGCCCCAGGTCAGAGGGCAGGGGCCGCCCAGGCCTTGATGTACTCAGGCTTTGCCAGTGATTTGTAGCTACAAAGGGCCCCTGCCCCTCATGGCTTCTGCTGCTGGCACACACAGGAAGAATTTGGCCTAGATGGTTAGGCTGACCTTTGACACAATCTTGGCCAGGGGGTATATGTGAGAAGCCCCTAGACTGACCACTGGGGACAGAGGCCAACTCTCTCCAGGGCTGTCTTGCTCTCAGCCCTGGTGCTTCACCCCACCCCACTAGCCTGGAGCTCTCTCCTTGGACAATGTCAGTCTGGGTCCTAGTCAGGATCCAGGTGGATTCTGTCCCCAGGGCCAGGCTCAGATGGCAAAGGCCTACTGAAAGCCACAGGAGAGCAGAGAGAGAGGGGAGCAGCCCCCTCCTACCTGGTCCTGGTGCCCTGCCCTGCAGCTGCCCCTCATTCCCGTGGAACAAGTGAGGGGATTTCAGCCCAATCTGTGCCCACCCTTCACAGGACGCCCCTGGGAGCCATTCTGAGGGCGGGTCTCAGGTCATAGGGTGTGAGGAGGCACTCGGCTTTATTTACAAGTCTCTGCAGGCTTAGCTCATAGCTCCAGCTTTTTCAGCACTCCCCTTGGCTCAGAAACCTCCCCTACTGACTCCCCAGTTTCAGCCCCAGGTCTGAGCTAAGGAGCCTGTATTTGCTGCCATCTGGAAGCTCCTGCCTGAGGACTGAGTCCTAGGTGATGTTTGGGCCCTGGCCTTCTGGTCAGCTTGCTTCATGGGGACTTTTTTCGAGAGCAACAGGACAGGGAGCTGCATGATGTTACGCTCAGCTGGTGGCAGGCTGGTCATGGCCTCAACCCCCAGCTTGTGCCTGTGATGGTCCCCATGGCCCCCCGACCCCCATCCCGACATCTCCCCTTGGCTTCACATACTCCCTGGGTCCCCAAGAAGGCAAGAAGGAACCAAGGACCCAGCTTTACCCATTCTCCCTCTCGCCTGCTGGTCTCAGCCTCCTGCACACCTCACTCACTCCTGTAGCCCCCCAGCCCTATACCCCCAGGGCCTAGTCTAGGCTTCTCGGCAAGCTCAGCTTCATCACAAGGTGTAAAATAAGGGCATCCCATTGCCTGGAGCTTGGGATCTGCTGGGCTGAGGCTTCTGCTTCTCTGACCACTTCTGCCTAGCTTCCTGGTTCAGACCCCTGTAGATGAGGTGAGAACCTTCTGATGCCATAGTTTTCCCCCATGACCCCTCCCTCCTTGTGGCCAGTTTGGGTGTGGCTTTAGCTCAGCCCCCTAGTTCAGCCAGCCCCTTCCAGAAGGGGCCCCACATCCCATTACTCTTTTAAAGCCAATGCTCTTCCTGGCAGAGGGTGGGACAGACGCATGTCTGGGTGGGTGTGAAGCCGCTCTAGATATGCAGAGGACAGTGGCCCAAGCTCTGCTCTATGGAGCAACCGCCTGGGTGAACGGAATGGCGCCTAGGCTGGGAAGCGGGACACGGGGCAGTCTCGGGCCCCCCCCCCGAGGGGTGTGAAGGTGCAGCCGTGGGCCTCCCCATCCTGCCTCCTGCCCTGAGCAGGGAGAGGATGTTCTGCAGCCTCAGTGGTCCATGATGAGTCTGGAGTCTCAGGTGCCTGGATCTGGCCGGGCCTCGGGCACAGAGCCCGCCAGTCCCACTGCCACCCCAGGAAGCTCTCACTTCTCGCTTTTCTTCTTCTTGGCCTCGTTCTTCTCATCCTCCTCTACCTTGATGGCCACTGTGTCCACACTGTCCTTCTTCTTCTTCTTCTTGTCCTCTGAGGGACAAGAGGAAAGAGCCCATCAACAGGTAAGGCAAGCCCCTGAGCTTACATGGATGCCTCCACATCCAGCCCTTTCCTTCCTTCCCTCCAAACCTCACCTTCCTCAAGCTGAGGACCAATTTCTGTGCTCTGGTCCCCAGGGACAGGGCTGGGTCCCCTCCCTCAACTACTGTGGGTGTTGCGGCAGACTAGGGTGACTCTGCTGGGCCCCAGCCTCTCAGCAGGGTGAAGGAGGCCTGGGCTGGGGAGGGGCCCTCACCTCCGGGGATTTCTGTGAGTTCATTGAGCGGTGGCACTGTCTCTAGTTTGTCCGTGTACATCTTGGCCGCCTTCCGCTGCAGGTACCGGGCTTCAATCTCCTTCCGGGTCCGTGGCACACGGCAGTTAAAGACGCAGCACAGAGTGATAACTGGAGGGGGACAGAGCAGGCTTGACTGGTCTGGACCTCAGATACCCAGGAATGGTGCCCACATTTTACTCAGTCTCTCCCTCTCCAAGTTTTTCACCCAAGAGCCTGGCAGGAGGCTCCTCATCCCGACAAAGCCCCTGTAGCTCTGGGGCTCCCAAGAATCTGTCCTGAGTAGGCCTGGCTTCATGAAGCACAGAGCCCCACTCTTAGAAAGTCCTAGTGCTTGGTTCAGTGCTCCGACACCACTGTCTTGAAATCATTATTTTGGAACAAGGGGGTGTCACAGTTGACCTTGCACTGGTCCTCCCAGTGACTCGGGCCCGGAGCTGAGGTTGAGAGTGCAGGAGGCCAGGGCAGGCGCCTGCACCATGGCTCAAGATACGGTTTCCGGGGGCTGTCCTGTCCTTTCTACTCAGGCCTCCGGGTTCCAGGGGTGCTCCCCTGCCCCCCACCCCCCGCCCCCAGGACCTTAGACAACAGGATGTGTCTGCATCCGTCTCACCCTCCCTGAGGAGAAGTCAAAGCTCCTGGCTATGAGCTCTGGGGAGAGGGCAGAGACCCTGCCCTGAGGCGTTCCCCTCAGACACTTACTCCAGGAGTGGTTTTCCGGAGGAGGGCAGCTGTGCCCACGCAAGCTGGGCTAGGGCATGGAACTGGCCTGTCTAGTGATGGGCAGAGCAGGGTAGGGCTTCCAAGCCCTGGCTGGACTGAGTTTATTATTCTAAGGCCCATACGGTCTGACAACCTGGGCCCCAACCTCAGGGGTGGGGGTGGCACTGTTTCCTATTATAAATAAGATGACCAGACATTACTTCCTGGCAGACTCCTGGGGGCAAAAGGGACAGGCAGGACAAGCCAGGACTATTTTGAGACAGATGGATCAGCTCCTAGCTTGGGCAGAGGTAGCCTCTGGGGTCATCCTGTACAACTTTTTCAGGCAAATATGTAGCTCCACTGAGCCTCACCAGACTCACAGAATGACACAGGAATGAATGAAGGGGGTGATCTCGAAGACTTTGTTCCTGAGGAAAGGCTTAGATCCAGATGGGGGAGCCCATAGCATCCAGGCACACCACCCTGCTCTGCCGAGGGAGGCCTGAGCAGACAGCAGGCCTTTCTCACCCACAGAGCTGGGTTCCAGTCTTCCTCACACCTGGTGTGTGTGCCTGAGGCCCACTTGATCCTGCTGGCTTGGGCGGCCTCCACCAGGCCCCTCCCCAGAACATGCCCACCCAGGCTCTCCGCAGAGTTTGGGTTCCGGCCCAGGCTTCAGAGGGAGTGAGGGGACAGCCACTGGCACCCAGAGCTGGGTTTGCCCACCACCCCTCACTCTAGACCTGGCCTGGTTGCTTTCCAAAGAAATAGAGAAACCAAATGTCTTAGATCAAGTTCCAGGCACCAGGGGTGGAGGCTTAGGGACAAGTCCCTGGCCTGGAGGAGACACCCAGAGGACAAGGTTTTGGGGTGATACTCCTCTGATGCCGTTGACAGGGCTGTGCCAGCTCCACTGTCCAGCATCCTGCACGGAAGGTAGCAGGTGCTGACCTGCTGCCCGGTGCCTGGAGACCACCCCTGCCCCTTTCTAGAAAGTGGGGTTCGGAGTAGGAGTCAATCAGCGGTTGAGGTCCAAATGCCTCTTGGGTCTGACACTGCAACTTTCTCGTGTGACCCCAGGTATTGCCAACTTCTGGGGCCACGCAGAGTTCAGGGAGAGTCCAGTCAGCCCTGGGGTGCTCTAGTTGGTTACTGGACCTCACCCTAGCATCTCCCTTGCCTCTCTGGGGACACCTCAGCTGGGGCTGCAGCCCAGTGTCTGGCTGGAAGGCCTCCGCGGGGGCCTGGCTGCTTCTCGGTCTTGACGAGGCACAAAAGACAGTCTCTTGCTCAGATCCTGCCCCCACCTCAGCCGTGAAGGAATGGCGGAAGGGGTGTGGATATTTTCCTGCAGAGAGGACACTTTTGGTGCCAGAAGCAGCACATGCAAATCAGATGTCACTGTCTCCCTCAGAGCCCCACATCTGGATGGATGCTTCATCATTGACTCTGCGTTCTAGGGGATCATATCCCGGGACAGCACTGTCACTGCCTCTTTAGCCCCATCACCCTCCTCCTGCCCCACCTGGGGTGCAGCAGTCAATGTCCTATAGAGGTTATGAGGACCTTGTAGAGGTGCTTTCCTGCCATCACCCACACCGCCCCTCCCGACAAGGCCGTTCTTCCCTCCCGTGGGTCTGCTGAGGACTCTCCTCTCCGCAGCCTCTGTGGGGTGGGGCTGGGGGGTATTTGTATTTTTCCCTTCACTGCCTGTATGCCCTGCCTTTCGCCCCCTCACCCCCACCTTGGCCTCATGGGTACCTCTCTTAGACTCTTCTTTAGGCATTGGTGACCTCCCGTTCTGAACCCGCACGGTCTGACCCCTTTAACTCTGGATCCCTGCTCTACGCGGGCTGAAGAGTGCACGCCAAGTCCATTTCTGTTTCAATTTTGCATCAAGCAACTCCCAGTCCCAGGAGAGGAAGGGTCTCCTGCTTCTCATTGAGGTGGTGTGAGTCATTCCAAGAAAATGGTATTTGACAAGGCAGGGTTTGCAGCTCAAAAGCCACATCTGCTGGGCATCTGGGGAGCCCCTGGGCTGAGCTATGGCCACGGGTGGCTTTGCTGGAGCCCCTGGGTGTGGACCCTTTAAGCTGGCCAAGCTTCAGGAAAAGCAACAGGAGGCCAGAGATAGGGAAAAATGACATGTCCTCATCCTGGTTCAGTGGAGTCCCCTGTAATTTCCGTAATTGCTGTGTGGCTGCTCGGCAGAATACCTCAGGTCACCGCCGGCCTGTCAGCCATCCACAGGGACTTTGTGTGAATCAGAAGGTGCCAAAAACCACAGCGGGCCTCCTGTAGGCGCCGGGCCTGCTTGCACTGCCCGGAATTGCTGCCCTGAGCCCCTGGGGGGGCAAGGGACAGCGGGTGCTGTGTTCCACTGCAGCGAGGTGGGGCAGGAGGGGGCTGCTACTCACTGACGGACAGCACGAAGAGCGAGAAGATGCCCACCACGTGCCACAGGCGCATGTCCCAGAATACCACGGTCTCCTTGGTCAGCGGGGGTGGCTTGGGCTTGGGCGGTGCCGTGCTGGGCTGTGGGTCAGATGACAGGGGAGTGAGCCAGGCAGAGGCCCGAGAGAGGGACCCAGGTCCCAGCAAGGACCCAGCCCAAGCATTTCAGAGTCTCCTGGAATCAAGTATTTTAGCCATTTATAACCAATGTCGTTGGGAAGTTGCAGGTTTAGATCAAGAGAGGAGAGCGGTGCCCCAGAATCCCAGAGCTAGGGACTTGGAGTTGATGCTGGGGGAAACCAAGGCATGAGGAGGCAAATAGAGATAACCAGTCCCAGTCAGGTTCAAGTTTCCTTCAGGAAACCTGTGGGTTTCTTCTTGCTCTGGTCCTGGGCCCCACACAAGCAGGAGAGGTCTCAGGACCAAGGCCAGAGACAAGAACCGCTGTGCTGCCCCCAGGGACATTGCTCTCCTGTGTGCGCCAGGAGGGTGCGTGTGGAGCTGGAGTCAGGGCCTCATGGCTCTGCTGCCAGTCCAGGACCCCCATCAGGTAGCCTCAATAATCACCCACCCTGTCAGGGTCACCTCCGCCAGCGCTCACCAGACAGCACTAGATAATTTGTCTGCAATGTGGCAGCGACACCTGGAGGCCAAAAGATGTAAGTGTGACTAGTCACAGCCGGCCACCTCCCACTTTCCCCGGGGGCACCACCCTGCTCTGGGGTCTAGGGGACACAGTCCTGCATAGGGGGTCTAGGAGACATAACCCTGCTCTGGGAGACTGAGGGCCAGGCCCCTGACCTATGAGTTTGACCTGTGGGATTGTCACCAGTTTGCCTGGCAGAGGGAGCGGACCATCTGGGCAATACTTTATCCCTGGTTAACTAGATAAGGCCAGACATGAGGAGTGTGAAAGGCCACCCGCTGCCGCCTACCTGTGCAGTGCTTCCCCCATCCCTAAACAGGGGTTGGGCGCCTGCCATAATTAGCCAGGCACTTGCTCATCTAATGACCACCCTCTGGCCTGTGTTGGAGAGCTCAGGGCATCAGCAACCTGCCCTGGGAGATCCAGAGGACCTGTGTGCCAGGAATCGGTGCACGTCTCCCCGTCCTCCTCACTCGGGTCAGCTGTGGTGGGAGCCTTCTTTTCTCTGGGCCTCAGTTCCTCCATCTGTAACTCGAGTGGGGTTGTTCCAGGGTCTCTGGGAAGCTCTGTCTCTATCCAACCTGAGCGGTAAAATGGACGAGACATCCCTCCTTGGCATTATCCTGAGTCGGGATCCATTTGCAGGGTTGGGTACACGTGTGAAGGTTGAAGAACCAGTGGGTTCAGGGCACGCATCTGGGGCTGGGCATGAGTGTGGTTGAGGTACAGTTGGTTAGGGCACATGTCTATAGATTGGGGCCAGGGCCGGCATGGTGGCGGGTTCCCTGATTCTAAGGCTGTGTGTTGGCCTGGTTGGGTTGTACGGTCGGAAAACTCCAGGCCCACATTAAAGATCTCACATTCTGAGGCTGGACAACTGAGGGTTCCCTATTGACACATGCTTAATTCCGTCTTTGTTCTGGGTGGAAGTGGAACTGTGCGCTCACCCTGACAGGGTCTCAGGTGGAAAACAACAGGTAAGAGTCGAGCATCTCGTGGTGGGCACTGCTGGGAATTCGGACACTTGGAAGCCTGGTCTCCATCAGCACCTCACACTGATGGGGGGGGGGGCGGGGCACCTGCATCTAGGGCTGGGGTGAGTGGAGTTCTGGACCCCACCCCCTGTGTATCTTACTGATGTTTCCCTGGATTCTCAGGACTTGGCCAGTTCTCTGCTCAGACTATAGGCAGATGGCAGGCGGGGGGACCCCAGGTGTGTTCCCTGAGGGTCTGCGAGGTGTTTCTGGAGGCTGGAGGAAACAGTCCTTGTTTCAAAGCAGACTCAATCCACCATCAGCCTTCTGCTCCAGACTGGCTGAGATCCTGCACCCGAGGCCCCCGGCAGCAGGTGCGGGGTCCAGATATACTCCATGGAGCTAAAGCAGCCTGACTCCCCTTGCTGGAACTGGCATCTGACTCCAGCCGGGCCTTCTGACCACACCTCCCAGTCAGCAGCAGGCAGAGGCCAGCACCCAGTGCAGGACTCTGTCCGCAGCCCCCCAGCCCCTGCCTCTGTCCCCCCCTTATGCTGCCGTGTCCCTGCTCTCCCGACTCTGCCCAGCTTGCAGAGCCTCCAGCTGCGCCCTCCCGTACTCTCTGGCCCTGCCCCTTGGGCCTTCTCCCTCTGTGCTCTGGGACTCTGGGCCTCATATTCCTCCTTGCTTTCCCTTCCTGGCTTAGCAGGAAGAGTGCAGAGGGAGCAGGGAGGCGGCCCCTGGCCCTCTCCCTGCCCTTCCTGGCCCCGGCCAGGCTCCTCTCTGCTTTCTGAACCATCTCAGCAGTTCCCGGCCTCTCCCAAGGTGCTCTCTTCCAGTTTATGCTGCCCTTTCCAAATGAGGACTGAGGCCGCCATTCTTGGGCTCAGAAACCTTTGCCAGCTTGGGTTTTCGCCAGCACCAGCAAAGCCCGAAGTCCCTAGGTCCTGGCCCACCTGCACCTCCCCTCCAGAGCCTGGTGCTCCACACCCAGGAGAGCTCAACATGCCGTTGCTCTGTGAAGGGCCTCGGGACCCTCCGCTCTCATCCTGCAGCCTGGAGAGCCTCACCTCCTCCCCAGAGCGAGTCTCCCCTACCTAACAAAGAGTCCCGGAGAATTTCTGGAGGCAGCAACTGTCTCCCCTGGCAGACACTAAGACCAGGGACTAGCTCTCCCCTATCAGAATTGAGGTCACTGAAACCACAAACTATGACCCCCCCCCCGGCCCTTTACCCCCCCATTAGACCAAACATTCAGGATGGGGGCTGAGTGTCCCCTGTTAGGCTGGGCAAGGCTGTGATGGGTGTCAGACGCTGCGCCCTTCCGTCACAGCAGAGGGCCTAAGCTGGAGCTGGGTGTACCCCACAGTCAGGAGGCGCTTGGGTCGGGGCTGTGTCACCCTATTAAACTAAATCTGTTAGAGCAAGAGGCAGGGAAAAGCCAGCTCTCCGTCAGAAAAGTGCCCCGCCCCCCTGTCTGGGTGGAGAGGCCACCGCAACCCCTCCGAGCGCCAGCCTCACCTCTACCAGCTGCCCGGCGACCCCCGCGAGGCACACCCCCAGCGCCGAGCTGCCCAGCACCCACAGGGCCCCTGCGCCTCGCCGCTGCCCCGCCATCTTCGTGCTGCCAGCTGCACCTGGAGCGGTGTGACTGCCGGCCAGGCTGGCCTGCTGAAGGTCCACTGGCCAGCAGCGCTCAGGGAGCTGATCTGGTCGCAGGCTGTGAGTGGGCATCATTTATTCATCATCGGTGTCTGGTTCCTGTGCCGCGCCCCACATCACTGCGGGGAGGGCCGCCCCCCTCCTGGGAGACCAGACTCCAGACTCCAGACTCCCCTCCATCCCCACCGAGACAGACACAGTGTGGGGGAGGGTGGCAGGGAGGACAGACTGGCGTCAGGTGCTTGAACAACAGGTCTCACCCTCTCCTCCCCTCCCTCGCCTCAGTTTCTCTATTTGGGATGCAGGGAGGGGCTGGGATCTGCTGATCTTAGCAGGCCCTTCCCATTTTGAGCATTTGAATTTGAAAAACCATACAGACCAGGTGGGAGGGGGTGGCAGGGATGGCAGACAGGTTGCCATAGTGACAGGCGCTCAGGGATGTCCTGGGCTGGCTAGCTGCCCAGAGACAGCTCTGATCACCCTGGACACCAGAGATGGGGGCCGGGGAGGGGGGGCAGTGGGAGGAAGCAGAGACAGTATGGTAATGGCCCACAGCTGTGGGTGCTGTGATCCACCCAAAGAAGCCAGCATCGGCAGCCTCACTGGACAGGGCGGGTTCCTTCCGGAAGGGCTGGAGGACCATTTTCTGACCCTGGTGGACCCTCAGCCCCTGCCCCAGCCCGTATGTGGTCCATTTACTCTTTGGTCCAGATCCCAGTGTGAACCTTGACAGACCAGGCATGGAGGGAGGGAGGGTGGGCAGGCCTGAGGAGCTGCAGAGACCTAGGAAGACCTTGGAAGAGGATTTGGGGGCTAGGGTGGGAGATGCTTTCTAGGCCCCTCTCTCTCACCTCCCTCCCTCCCCTATCTCCATTACTGTGACTGACACTCCTGGGCCCAGGTGTTGGGCCCCTGCATTTCTCATCACCAAGGACGCTAGTGGAGAGCTGTGCCAGCTGGAGTGCTTTAGCCTTGGGTTCTGCCTCAGAACTAGAGACCTGGTCGACCCAGCGCCTCTGGGGCTCCTGCCTGGAGATGCCACACATGGCAAGGACTGAGGCTAGCTGTGGGGCTAGGGGGTGACACAGCAGACAGGAAAATGGGAGAGCCGTTGGCAAAGGATGACTGACTAGCCTAAGGAGTCCATCCAGGGGAACCTCAAAGTGGACAGCAAAGTTGGGGGCTGGGGGACTGAGTCAAGCTGTCCATCCAGGCTTGCCCTGGTCAGGTCAATGGGAATTCCATGGAAGTCCAATCACTTGCAGTGGCTCTCTGCCTGCCCCGCCCCCTTCCTCATGCCATCGGCCATGGGTCACACGAGGGAAAGTCACACCGACCAGTCGGGAAGTTCATTCTAGGAACATGGGGTCAGGAGGCCTTGCCTAAATTGAGTCTGACAGTGACCTTAAACAAACCTTGACTCCTCTCAGCTCATCTGTGGAATGGAGAAGGCAAGCCTCTCATCAAAAGGCTGATGTGAGGATTATATGAACTAACAATTATGGGATACTGAATACATGCTGGCTGTCCTTGATTGGGAGGGTGGGGAGGGTGTCATTGTTTCCTGTAAAGTTTGTCTTTCCATCCAAGAAGTAGGGCAAGCCCAGTGAAGAAATTTGAATACAATCATGTGTGTCCCACAGTCCCCAGAGATGGCCACTGCTTCCCCACTGATCTGCTCGCCAGGCCCTTGAACACAGCTCACTATATGTTGTTTATCATACACCTTTTTACCCAACACCAGTATTCTAGACTCCACCTCCAAACCCACGGTCAAATATTGTCACACACACTTTAAAGTCTAAGTGACTGAGAACTAGACATTAAGTTCTGAAAGGCTTGTAGCCGTTTTAGGCTTTAATAACTTCAGAAAGGTAAAGTTACCAAGTTCCAAGAAGCACCCTTAGAAAATTTAATTACTTAAATTTCATTTTTTTGTCTTTTAGAGATGGTAAAAGTAGACTGAAAACTTAAAGCGATGTTTCAAAATGCACAGTGTCCAGTTAACAAAGAAAATTTAAATCTTTGAACAGTGCCTTTTGTAAGTTTGTAATTTTATACTTTTATTGATAATATCTGAAGTTACTAAAGCTTAAAACTAAGACTTCTGAGCCCTCTCTGGTGGCACAAGGGGGTAAGCCTCAGAACTAAGAAGCTATCTGCAGCCACTGCAGCACGAGTTCTATCCCCAGCCTGGGAGCTGACCCACATGGGGCGGCAGGCCTCTCCTGTCTCACCTGCTGCTCCCCTCAGCAGTATGTTCCAGTTCATTCACCTGTTCTGTTCCCCACTCTGTCTCTGGTGAATCCTCTCATCACCCCCACCTCTGGCCTGTACCCCAGTTCTTGTGCGTGCAGATAAATACATCCTAAAAAAAGAAACCAAAAGCCCCTTAGACTTCTGAAGAATGGGCAAGAATATCGATAGCTGTGAGCCTCACTGGGCTATTTCACCTCTCCCTGTTTTTCCCTCATCTGTAAAATGCGTCTAGCTATAGTATAATTGCACTTCACAAACTAGCAGGTGCTGTTCATTATGATTCTTACTGTCATTGCTGTTAAAGACAGTGTGATATCACACAGAGCAAAAACCCAACAACACTTGCTCAGTCCGTGCCCTATTGCTGAACATGTACATTGCTTGCAACGCTCCAGGGCGCAGCATCACTAGAAGACCATCCCGAAAGCTACGCCCTTTTCCACCTTTGGAGGCTTTTCTTCTTCCACTACTCATGAGAAATTGAGGCCCAGAGTGGGGTTGATCCCTACCCCATGTCACAGGAATGAGGCCCTCAAACTCAGCTTTTATCCCTTAACCCAGGGCTCTGCCTATTGTTTCTACTTTTTATGAGGTCCGCACACACGCCTGCACCCCACTCCCAGGTCTGGGGTAACAGAGCTCTGGAGCCTCAGGCTGGAAGACAGTGTCCCTTGAATGCTGGCCTACTGATCCTTGTTTGTCTCTGTGTACTATATTTGGCTCCTGCGGGTTTCCTGTAGGGACCCAGTCCAGCTCCAGGGCCTCTGGCTTGGGAGCCATGAACAAAGTCAGTTGGCAGTGGGCAGGAGATGCAGTGGACTGTTCTTTTCTGCAGACTGAAACTCCAAAACTCAAGGTCTCGAGAAGCCAGGGGTAGGGAGCAGGGATCCCCTTCAGTCACAGAGTCAGACTGGGATTCCAGGCATCTTGGACTAAGTTTGATCTGGGGGTGGGGGCTGGGCAGCCCAGGCTCGTGACACAGAGACTGGGCCTGCTGGTTGCTGGCAGTCTCTGACCTTGTTGGCCCCCAGCCCAGACCCAGAATAGCTCTGGGGCTGGGTGGGGCCTGGGTGAGACCTGTGTGTACATAGGCATGTCCTTGTGTCCCAGGACACTCTTGTGTGCAGGAATACACATGCACACGCACTTGGCTGTGTGTGTTTGAGTGTGTGGCTCATTGCGCTCTCCATGGAGCAGCGTGGGTCTGTCTGCGTGGACGTGTGCACGGTCTGCACACATGTGCCAGTACAGGGCTAATGCCAGAGTTGTGCAACATGTAGCCTTGCCAGTGGGCTCAATAATAGATGGTCTGTGTGGCACAGTGAGTATATAGCCACCCCCACCCCCGCCCCCGCCCCCACTCCCATGACCTGTAGGGAACCATACATGTCTGCAGATGATTGCGGAAGGGCACACATCTGCACTGGGACTAAGCCAGGGCCCTTAGCTGGGTTTCAGGGGCCAAGGGCGGGTGGATTTAGTGGAGGCTGCCTTTGGGCTCTACCAGGGACTCAGAGGCCTGGGTCCCCGATAGGTCTTGCCCCATTTGGTAGATAATAAAACAGGGCTTAGCAATGCCTATGAGGTTACTGGTAAGCGGAGAGTGGGTGAGAGAAGACTACCCCCTGCCCCCCAGGTCAGAGCTCAGCCAGACTTCTGAGGCTGCTGGCAGGCATGGTGCCTGTTGCCCGTCTAAAGAGAGATGGCAGGGGGTACGGGCAGTACTACCTCCTGAGAGACTACTGTGTGTCAAGGGAAGTGATGGGGGACCAGCCTGGGGTGGTGGCTAGAGGGTGAGTGGGTGCCCGACAGACAGCAGGCTCCTTGGTATAAGCTGAACCAAAGTCCCGCCCCCTTCCAGGAGGTCTGTGGGGACCAGGCTTCTCTGCCCTTTCCAAGGTCGCAGGCCCTGGCATGGGCAACTGCTGGCTTCACGCTCCATTGGGTCCTATTAAGGAGTGGGGGTAGGGGTTTTTCTCACTTCCACAAGGTCATAAAGGACTGGCAGCTAGTCCTGGCTGGTTCTAGGGGCAGCGGGCGGCCTCGATTTACCCCAGTACCAGTTACAAGTCTCACAAACCCACCCAGCAGTCTTGCGCCAGCCTCTGTGACTCCATGCACCCCAGGCCCACTCAGCGTCAGAATCGGTGGGGGAGGGGGGCTGGGGAAGCCCCACCGGGACCAGGAAACCGAGGCCACTTCCCGGACACTGCCCAGCTAGGTCTGGAAGTAGGGCGAGCTTGGGCCAGAGCGCCTGTGGCAGTGGAGGCTGGCGGGGTGGGGGAGCCGGACGAAGAGCTCCCGCTTCCTCCCTCCCCCACCCCCAGCTGAGTGCCAGGAGACTTTGGAACCCCGGAGGGCGCCAGAGGGAGACCTCAGGGGAGACCTCGCGCGGGAGGACTGACAGACGCATTGTCCCGCCTCTTCCCACGCGAGCCCCTGGGCGCCCCAGCCGTGTGTCACACTCCGAGGCGGGGCGGAGGCGGGGCGGCGAGGCGAGGGGCGGGG